CTTGCCTCAGCCTCCCTAGGAGCTGGGACTACAGGCAAACACCACAATGCCTGGCTATTTTTTGGTTGTTGTCATTGTTGTTTGGAAGCCTGGGGTTGGATTCGAACCCAACAGTTCAGGCTGGCTCCCTAGCCGCTGAGCTACAGGCACCAAGCCTATTTATTTATTTTTTGAGACAGAGTCTTAATATTTCATGCTGGGTAGAGTGCTGTGGCATCATAGCTCACAGCAATCTCAAACTCTTTGGGTGTAAGTTAATAACGCCTCACTATTTTTTTTTTTTTTTTTTTTTGTAGTTCTCATTGCTATTTAGCAGGCCTGGGCGAGTTTGAACCCACCAGTCCCAGTGCATGTGGCCGCACTGAGCTACAGGCTCCAAGCCTGGGAATATATTTATTTTAAAAATTTCTGCCTGGACACCAGGTGGCACTGTGAATTTAGGAGGATGGACAATACAGCTGTTAACCTCTCTCTAGTTCCCAGGCTTAGACCTGTTTCCAAGCTTAATTGTTCCTGGTGATCACCTGATCACCAATTCAGTACTCATACCCCACTGATTTGGGATTCCACAGCTCTCCAAAATTCTTTAGAGGTGAGTTTCACAGTTTCCTGTGACAACAGTTTCCGTAGAGTGCAGGAGTCCCTGGGCCTGTCATGAGTGGAGGTCTGCTCCCAGCAGGCAGAACTCAGACCACTGTGTCTTAGGCCACTAGTGAGAGGCCTGCCTTCATTAACTTCTGGCAACCTTTACAACAATGGCCACCTGCTATCCTCAGGAACCTTCCCAATATGGAGGTCTCACTAGCTGCTGAACACGGCAGAACCATTCCAGACAGCATTCCAATCTGGCCACCAAACACCACTCCTCCAATCTTTCCACTCAATGCCTAGCTTATCCCAAGAACCAAAAACTGCAAAAGCCTTCTTCCAGGATCTCCATGGGGGGCATGGCCTCCACTGCTGCAGCCACCACCTCTACCACCACTGCCACAGGGGCAGGTTTGCAGAAACTTGTCTAGTGTGTCAGGTCTCTGCAGCTCCAGCTTGCACACTGAGTCCAGTAGTTAACCACCTCCCTGCACACACTAAGCCAAAACTTCATGCAAATTCTCCACACCAAGTATGACCTGGCCCTCTCCCTCTCTCCAGTTGCTCCAGGAGAGCTCCACTAAGATACCAAACACCTCTAAGAAAGGACCTACATGCACTACAGATACTAAGGTAAAAATCCCAGAGCATCTACTGGTGGGCCAGGGTCCACTTCAGGTCAACAAAGCCATCAGTTGGGAAGAATACCAGGCCACAGATACAGGACAGTAAGGATAATTGGAACCCCCCTCCCCCAGTACCTCTCTCTGCCCCTGTCTGTCACCACATCCAACCATGACAACCTTCAGAGTGGTGGTTGCTGCTTCATTTCTGCCTTCTAGAGCTTGTGCACATTCCTGTTTCACAAACTTTAACTTGAGACCCCCCTCCAGGGGAGTGGGTCCTGAAAAATATAACTCCAACTGAACCAAGTTGATATAGAACAAACAACAGAATCTATTTTCCACTATCTAAACCTGAAACAATAAAAAGTGAATTTTTCTGTGGCTCTTGAGACAGAGCTATAGGATCTTTTCTGCCAGACTTGAACCTGGAAGGACACAGGCCTGATACTGTTGACAGCCATTTTGGAGCCACATGGAGCCTAAGAAAGAAGCTAACATTATGAATAGCAAAGCAATGAGAAGAAATGATATTCTGAAAAAAGTATGCTTGTCCACTTGGCATCTGGCAAACACTTAAATTAGTGTTTTGTATGAAACCACAACAAAATTTTGGGGTCATCTCTAATCTAAATACTTAGACTAACCTTAGCTACCAAACACTTGCTTGTTTCCTGTCATTATGTGTTAGGATCTACAGAAAGTAGGGCCTAAGACAAAGACCCACTTATGGGAAGTCTAAAGGAACCTCTAATCCAAGACCAGAAGGCTGTCAGGATCAGAGAAGAGGAAGCAGAGACAAAGCTATGAACATTCCATTTAAGAACAGCTATTCAAAGCCAGGAGAGCAAAGCTCTTGCATAGAACTGGGAGAAAAGGGAGGGAAGGGGAGGGGGAAGGATGGCTGGTGGGAGGGTGATTGGTGGGATCACATCTATGGTCCATCTTACAAATCTTTCTAAAGATTTCTAAATGCAGAATACAAATGTCTTAACACAATAACAAAGAAAATGCCATGAAGGCTATGTTAACCTGTTTGGTGAAAATATTTCAAATTGTATATAAAACCACCACACTGTACCCCATGATTGCATTAAGGTACACAGCTATGATTTAATAATAAAAAAAAATCCTTACCCTATTATCTACTAGAATATTCTTTCTGTAAAATAAACAAGGAAACCACATTCAAGTCAAAAAAAAAAAAAGAAGTGAGGAAAAAAAATTACCTGAGTCTGAAACAGAGAAAGTAAGAGAGAAGGGGGAGAGATAGTGGGAAATGGAGTTTGAAGAGCCTGTAAACCCAGAGAAAACTTCACCTGAAAGGCAATGGACCTAATAGTGGAGAGAAATGTCAGATTTTCACTTCTAAAAATGGTCATTATTCTTTCCTCTCAGTAGATAGGCCCCAGCAAACTTTTCCAAAGGAAATGTGAGCATCAAAGTTATAAACCAAACTTTCATGACAATGTATGGCATACATGATCTGCACTCATAGACCTTCACATACCAAGAGATTCTTCTACAGATGCAAATACTGCCTACAGATTGCTCGGAGGACAAAGCATTCATTATAACCCCCCCTTCCAACACGGGTCTTTAGAAATGAGACAAAATGTGGTTTTGATCCATAATAATGTTAGAAAGCTGGAAGGTTTCTAATGGATAAGAAATCTTCCCTGAAATATAGAAAGTAGTCATATCACATGTTTAAAGGATCCCTATACCAAAACATGCACTGAGGAGGAATCTTGCATAAAAGTCCAAGAAGGGAGGTGCCCCAAGAATACTAAAAGCCTAGAAGCACCAAAGCCTGAGAGCAGGAGTGTCTCTGAGAAGCTGATGGGCAATTAGCTAGAGCACCAGAGCAGGATCTATCAGGTCAACAGTTCCTTTCTCTGACCTGTGGATGAGGCAGCAGCAGAAGTGTCTGCTCTCATGTACGAGCAAGGAATATTAGCCTTCAGGACAGAGGCCCAGGATAGTGTCCCAGGGAGTAGGGACACCAGAGAGGAACAAAGAGGTCCCATCCCAGGAAATCCTTTCCTGAGGGCTCTATGTCTGACTCTAACCCTCCATCCTGGAGGTGGACAGCAATATACAATCAAAGATAGGCTTACAGGAATCCCCAAACACAAAGATGGTTCCTCAGTAAGGAATCACCAAGCAATGGTGGAAATCCAGCTTTGTGAACCTCTTACCAAGTGCAGAAGTTACACCTGAGAAAAGAAAGGGGACAGCTGACCTGATTTGAATAATTAATATTTTCAGGGAGATACAAGATTGCCATGTTGCAAATATTATGAATTATTTTTATTTCAAAAGTTAATTTAAAATTTGGTAGTTGAAAAAAATCAACATACAGGCTGAGTAGTAGAATGAACTGCCAAAAAAGAGCAAATTTGTGAGTTATAAAATCATGCCAAGAAAATTTTCCAGAATGTAACTAAGATTTTTTTAAATGTAAAACAGATGTTAAGAGATGCAGAATGTAAATTGAACTTCAGAATTTAAAACTTCTTCCCTTCAAAAGATATTGTTAGGAGAATGAAAATATGAGCCCTGCCTTGAAGAATGTTTGCAAAACTTATATCTATCAAAAGTCTTGTATCCAGAATATATAAAGAACTCTCAAAACTCAATGATAAGAAAAAAATCATAATTAGAAATATACAAAAGATATGAACAAATATTTAACTAGGGAAAATGTACAGATGACAAACAAGCACGTGAAAACATATTCCATATTATTAGTTATTAGAGAAAAACAATAAAAACCATAAGAGATTTGATACCACATCACATCTATTAGTAAGGCAAAAATTTAAAAGACTGACTATACCAAGTACTGGTGAAAATGTGGGGGAACTGGAATTCTCAGACACTGCAGCCACTTTGGAAAGCAGCTTAACAATTTTTTTAAAATTTAAACATATAAAATCTTTTTAATTTTAAAAGTTAAACATATACCTATGATATGATTTAGTTATTCAAGTATTTGATATTTATCTAAAAGAAAAGAACATATGTGCTATGCAAAGTCTTGTCCACAAATATTCATAGCAACTTTATTTGTAATAGCCCCAAATTGGAAACCATCCAACTATACATGTTCATACAATGTAACACTACTCAGCAATATAAAGAAATAAACATGAAAAACATGAATGGATCTCAAAATAATTATGCTGAGTGAAGGAAGACAAAAGAATAGTACACATTGTATGATTACGTTCATATTAAACTCTGTGCAACTAATCTATAGTGACAGAAAGCAGATCAGTGGTTATCTGAGATCAGGAGTGGGAAGGCCAGGAGGGATTAGAAGAAGGAATTATAAAAGGCCACGAGGAAACTTTTGGGAGTGTTGGATACGCCTACCATCTGGAAATGTGGTGATGGTTTCCAGGTATAGACATACATCAAAATGTAACAAGTTATATTCTTTAAATATATACAGTTTACTGTATATCAATTATGCCTTCATAAGCCTGTTACTGTGTAAGTGTATATATATGTATATATATATACACATATACATATTTGTGTATATATATGTGTGTGTGCACACACACACACATATGTATTTATAATATGTTCCTAAAATTTATTTGACCATGACTCTTTCTCCCTGCTCACCTGTTGCCCCAGTTTGCAGAAGCATGACAGAAGCTATGAGACAGACCTAGAATTGACCCTGGCTCCAGTCTCAAACTGGCTATGTGCCCTACAACAAGTGATGGACCTTTACAGAGTCTTGCTTTTCTTGTATTTAAAATGGAGTTGTGGTCAGGATGAAATTAGTAAATGCCAAATCCCTGCCACATAGTAGGTTCTTAAACATTTTTGTCTACCAATCACCCCCCAAACCAAACAAGCCATATTTATGATTTCCCCAATGGCATTAACTTTATTTTTAGCTAAAGACACCAGCATTCAGTCATCTTGAGTCCAAAGGTCCAAGGGGAAAGATGTTGAAATGCTTAGCACTGCCCTGCAGGCCCATCTGCTCTGCATTAGCCAGCCTTCCTCTGTTTATTATTTCTTGTGTTAAATCTCCTCCAATTCTTGTGCGAAAAGTTCGAGCACACAATAACCTCTTTATCACATTTTCAAAATCTGGGCCTGTTCTGGAAAGTTTACACCTTTTTCTTGTTGCCATTGTTTTCATGTGGATTCAGATTTCTGAAAAGGGCATTTGGAGTACTTTGCTGAAAACGTTTATGTGTAAGCTTGATGCAGACAAATATTGCCAAAAAATGAAAATGAGATGTCAGAGGAGTTAGAACCGCACCAAGTGGGGCCTGTGTCGTTTGCCAGCTGTGGCTGTGCAAAGAGGATCCAAGGCTCAGGGTGGTGGCTGGGAGCCTGGGGCTGGGCAGTACCTTCAGCATCTCCCTTTTAGGGGTAGAAATTGAATAACATGGAAAAGAATAACAGAAACATGCTGATGTTGATATGTAGACTAAAAAGGTCACATAATGCTGTAAAAATAAATACATAATAACAACAATACTGGTTACCATTCATTGAGGATTATTTGCTTCACCAAGTGCTATTTTATCTAAACCTTACAATAATCCTGTGAGTTCGATATTGAATAAGCAAGGACTCTTTCAGCCTTAAGTGACAGAAAATTTTCCTCAAACTTGCTTACAACACAAAGGAATTTTTTTGATATGTTAGTTCTGGCTTCAAAGGAGACTTGCTCCAGAAGCTCCAAAAGATGTCTCCAAACAAGAAAACTCTCCTCTTCTCCTTTCTGCTTTCCTATTGGCTTTCTCTTTGGGCTTCATAGAGTCAGCCCAGAAGTTTCAGGATTTTCATATGGTGGCAGGATTTCAATGGCTATGTCAGACCTCACATCCTTACAGGAAAATAAAGAACAAAGCCTAGAATTCACTTTTATTGGTCTCAAATGGGTCTTGTGTCCATCCCTGAACAGATCACTGTGAGGGAGGAGGAAGAAAGAGAAGTTGATTATATTAAGCTTTTGGCATGGGGGACAGGGAGTAGCCCACATCCAGGAACTAGGGATGGCAATGAATCCCAACCAAAGCCCCAGGCTGAGAAACAGGGAGAGGTGGTTTCCTAGAGGTAAAAAGGGATAAGGTTGATTATAAAAGAGAAAATGGATCCTACAAATGCCTATTGTATTCATTCATTTATTTTTTTCATTCATTCATTTATTATAAAAAGAGGCTGAATGCTGTTTAGAGTCTGGGGATATACCATAGAATAAAAAAGGAAAATCCCTAAGGCAGATTCTGTTGACACATGCCACTGCATGTTCCTTTGACCCACCTGCAAGTGTGTTGTGTTGGACAGTTCCCATGCACAAGAGCTGTATCTCTCTGCTTCTCCACCAAAGGCTTTCTCTGGGACTGAGGAAGATTGCTCAGCCTATACACAGGCAGCTTGGATATGGCAGAGGTTTAATGCCCCCAGAGACACACACAGCCAACAATGCACAGGAGTTGAAGATAATTCTCATTTTCTTATTCCCAGATAGGAAATTTCTGAGACCAGTTCAGCAAGGCTTCTCAGAGGAACTCCAAAGGGTTGTCCACAGCAGTAATGACCTTGTCCATGCATCTTTTGTTGATTTTACTTTCTTCCTTGGTCTTTCTTTCCCAACACACAATGGAAAAAGGATAATATCTTCAATAAATGCTTCAATAAATGGATAATTATTTGTACAATAATGAAACTAGATCCCTATCTCTCATCATATCAAAAAGAAAATCAAAATAGATTAAAGACTTAAATCTAAGACCTAAAACTATGAAACTACTAGGAGAAAACACTGGGGGAAATGCTTCAGGACATTGATCTGGGCAAAGATTTTTATGTTAAGACTTCAAAAGCACAAGGAACATAGCAAAGAGAGATAAATGGAATTACATCGAGCCAAAAAGCTTCTGTTCAGCAAAGAAAAGAATAAAGTAAAGAGACAAGCCACAGAATGAGAGAAAATATTTGTAAACTACACATCTGACAAGAGATTAATAACCAGAATACATAAGGAGCTCAACAACTCAATAGCAGCAATAATAATAATTTGATTTTTAAAACAGCAAAAGATCTGAATAGACATTTCTCAAAAGAAGGCATACAAATACAAAACAGGTATATGAAAAAGGGCTCAACATCACTACAGAGAAATGCAAATCAAAACTATAATGAGAGGCTTGGCACCTGTGGCTCAAGTGGCTAAGGCACCAGCCACATACACCTAAGGTGGCGGGTTCGAATCCAGCCCAGGCCCGCCAAAAACAACAATGACGGCTGCAACCAAAAAATAGCCAGGCATTGTGGGGGGGCACCTGTGGTCCCAGCTACGTGGGAAGCTGAGGCAGGAGACTCACTTGAGCCCAGGAGTTGGAGGTTGCTGTGAGCTGTGATGTCATAGCACTCTACCCAGGGGGACAGCTTGAGACTCTGTCTAAAAAAAAAAAACTATAATGAGATAACATCTCACCCCAGTGAAAATGGCTTTTATCAAATAGATGGGCAAAAATGAATGCCAGCAAGGATGCAGCTAAAGGGAAACCTTCATACAATATTGGCGAGAATGTAAATTAGTACAGCCCACATTTGGAGAACATTCTGTAGGCTCCTCGAAAAACTAAAAATAGAACTACCATAGGACCCAGAAAGTCCTCTAGTGGGTATATATCCAAAAGAAGGTGATCAATATATTGAAGCGATACCTGCACTCCCTTGTTTACTGTAGCACTATTCACAATTGTGAAAATATGGAAACAACTTAAATGCCCACCAATAAATGCATAAAGAAAATGTGGTATATATATATATATAACAGAATACAATGCAGCCACAAAAATGTATGTAATCCTATCATTTGCAGCAACATGATGAAACTGGAGATCATTATGTTAAGTGAAATAAGCCAAGCACAGAAAAACAAATATCACATGCTCTCACTCATATATGAGAGCGAAAAAGGTGTACTTTATGAAGATAGAGACTAGTTTGGTAGTTACCAGAGGCTGGGAAGGAGATAGGGGAGATGGGGATGAAGAGAAGTTTATTAGTGGGTACAAATAAACAGTTTGATAGAAGAATTGAGACCTATTGTTTAATAGATCCATAAGGTGACTAGAGTTTACAATAATTTATAGTATATTTTAAAAGGTAAAAGAGAATAATTTGAATGTTTCTGACACAAAGAAAAATACAAATATTGAAGATAATGGATATTCCAAATATACTGAATGATCATTATAAATTATATTAATCTGTTAAATTAATAGCCATAAAAATAAGAAAGATTTCTTTGTTTTACTCCAGAACACATTGTTAAGTGATAAAGGAAAAATGCAAAACAATGTCTATATTATGCCCACTTTTGTATATGAAAAACATATACAGGGTTTCCATTTTTAAATTACACATGAATTTAATGGATACCTTTTATGTGCAAACACACATGGAAGTTTGGATCAAGAAAAATGGGATAGCATATAGGAAAAAAATTGAGACTTTTCTAAGGACACCTTTTAATATCATTTTGACTTTGAACAATGAAAATGTTTTACATATTCAAAAATTAAATCAGAAAGGAAAAAAATGCACACCCTAAAACTAAAGGTAGAACCATAGGGATTTGGGGACCATTAGATGCAGTATCCAAGAAAAAGAACAGCCAGTGAAAGAAGACAGCCTTGTCTTTCACTGATATTGGGGCAATAGTGAAAGAAGTTTGGGGGCACCATCCGGATTTAGTCTTGGAAACACTGAATTCTAGATGCTAGTTACTTATCTAACCAATTGAAGATGTTGGACAGGCAGTTGGATTTGTGAGTCTGAGATCCAAGGAAGAGGTCTGAGCTGGAGACATAATTATGGGAGTTGGTGGCACACAGTTGAGGGTTAAAACCATGGGACAGGATGAGATCACCAAGGGGAATAAAGAGAAAAGAGCCAGACCCTGAATGTTAGAACTATCTGGTCAATACTCAGTGGTCAATGACATGAGCCAGTAGGGATGGAGGGGAAGAGCTGGTGAGAGGAGGATTTCTTCAGGAGAAAGTGACTGCATCTGGGGAATCAGATAGGACTGAGAATGACCATTGGCCTTGGCAACTGATCCTGCCAAGAGCATTTTTAGAGTAAGGGAGGAGGGGTTGGAGGGCAGAACCAAGATGGCGGACTGCAGCCAGCTTTTTACAGAAGCTCCTATCCAGAAGAAGGCTTAAAGGACAGAAGTTTAGCAAAGGAGCTGATGATTTGGAGCAGATCCAAGAGAGAAGATTGAAGAGTGCACTTCAACCTTCCTGAGGTGAGCTGCAACCCCAAAAATACAATCAAAAAGTACAAAATCCACCACCAAGCAGATGGGAGTCTCCTCCCCCACAAAAAGGGCTCACAATTTACTCCATGCAAACAAGCGAGCAGAGTTCAAACATCCTCCCACTCTATCCCACTGGAGAGACCCCCTAAAAACTGGACCTCCTAGCCCCGCTGGCATGGCACTGCACCCTCCTGCCAGGCATAAAACTGTAAAACTATATAAAACTGTATATATTCCCCACCTGCAACATTGAACTCTGAGGATTTCCTCCCCCCACCCTGAGGTCTGGAGGTTTGTTACCTATGGAGTCCAGATTCTTGGGCATCTCCTTGAGAGAAGTGGAGGGGGAAAGGGCTGGTGCTCTTCTGTGCTGACTGTGGCACAGGAGTGAGGAGAAGAAAATTGGCTCAGAGGAAGCCATACAGCAACAGTGACATCCTGAGCTGTGAAATGACGCCATTCCAAATAGGCGAGCCCCATCTCTCTGGGCAACCAGAGGTTCCAGACAGCAGCCACAGGCCGAATGAACGGACTTGGTAAATTTTGTAAGTAAAGAGACAATTAGCACCAGCCCTCAGGGGAATAGCTGAGACAAAGGCAGTGGGCGGGCAGAGGCTGGAATTGACACCTGACTGTAAACTCTAATTTACACTCAGAAGTATAAACTGAGTGTAAGTTCTTCTGAGTGTAAACTCTAATTTCTTCACCAGCTCTAGAAAGCCTCTGACTTGCAGAAGAATTTAGACGGGACAGAAGGTGTGAGGCTGTAACAGCCACAACTTTCAAAGCATAAATTCTTCCCCTGCCAGACTGGACTCAGATCTCCCAATGAGCACCTCACCCTCAGGGGAGTG